TACCTGTATGAAGGGTGAAAGCAAACAATCCAACAGTAATCTGTCCATGTGCACTGAATCATTTAGTTACAGCCCACACCAGCACAGTTACTTAATTTACTTTAACAAAACAAGGGTTAACAGCTACTGGAAGCAACATTTTTTTGTAGAACAGAACTATAACAGAAAAGTATATGCATCTTAGGACCTTCTTGAATTAATATAGCTACTGGGTGCTTTCTGGAGCAAGATTTCTGGCTCTCCAATGTTTTAAAAATTCTATTCACACTTCGATGTTAAGATCATAGATGTTATTGGTTGAGGAATTACACTCCTACATTCCAGACTTCCAAAAATCTTACGTCTATTTTTCCAGAAAAAGACAAAGACTTCTAGCCTTATCCAAGTAGAATGATTTAAGAGAGGTAGCCATTCTACATTGCTCACAGATGTGAAGCATTCAAATAATATCCCATATGAGGGAGATTTCTGAATTAGGTGCAGGTGATGCAGTGAAAGGCACATGATACATTGCAGAGCTACATAGTTTGTATTTATCAGAAAAGCACCACCATGTGTGAACAAAATCTAATCATCTACATGTTACTATGATGAATAATGCTGAGTAAATTATCAAGTTACCCATTGTCAAAGTGTTGCCTTCTGCAGCTTCATAACGTTCACTTATTTGTATTTATACACATACAAGCCCTTGCTGCAATCAACTATGATATCCAATAGTGGGAATACAGACCATTACAACTCAGTTTGATAAAGCTAAATAAAGTTTTGAGCATAACCAAATTTATTATTTCCCCAGTTTTATATACCTGTTCCTTAAGTATTAGTTACATTTGTTTAAGGCACGTTAAGTCAGCAGTAAGTGTACAATAAGTCAACAAAAAGAACGGACAAAAGAAAACAGATGCTGACTATGTTTTAGTGGTGAAGACTACGTCACTTTGTACTTGATTGGTTTGTAAAAGCAAGTTTGAGTAAAGGATAGCACCTTTGCCTTGAATTTACTAAACATATACTAATCTTTACTTATTCAGGCATTTAGATTTTATAGACTTTTAGATTTTATAGGCTTAAGTGCTAGGCTACAATCTGACTTGCAGTTTTGCAATAACTATTTTTTATAGTTAACTATGCTAAGCTGGTTCCACACCTGAACACAAATAGATTCAGGCTATGGGAGAAGTATAAAGCAGGGAAACTTTTGTTTATCATTTATTAATAAGAGGACCAGTTATTCAAAACAGCTTGTTAAACCATAAAACAGATGTTTAATTCTGTAATTTTCTAAATTATAAGCATGTTTTCCAACCTTCGACATCAGTATGACAGCACTTTTGTATACTGAGGTTCTGTACCAGAAATAAAAGACTAGTAATTTCACACACCTGAAGTATATGCAGAGTTAAAGATGACTGAAACGGTGGCTCCTGTCTTTTATGCACTGATTAATACCTACTATACAACTCTTCTCCTCATTGAGGCTCCTACATTACACAGTAATAAAATCACCAGATAAAGACAGAACCCAGTTTAACCAGAACATTAACAGACAATAATTTTGAAGACATAACCTAAAAATATCCCCATGATTATAAAGTTGCAATAAGTCTTGTAAAGCATAATCAAGAAAAGTAGTAAAGCAATTCACATTATGGTTAACATTTCTGGATTTTCTTCAGTGCTTAACAAATTAAGCTGCTCAAAGCCAAATGTTTTCCATTCTCTTGACATAATTTGTGTTTGATCCAAGCATCCCTTACAAAAGGAAGGAAGAGATTTATTTTGACCTTCATATGGCAAAAAGCAACAGACTTGTACTTTAAGCAATAGTTTGTGATTAATACAGCATTGTGATAAAATCTTAGAAAGACATTAAAAAATACTTTCTGGAATCTGCCTGACTGCACAGAACACACATTTTGTTCATAACACACTGCAACACTAGTTATATTTCACTACTCATGCATACTGTAGCAGTCACAATAGGTTAGATATAACTGCAGCCAGCACAGAAAATAAAGCTCAGGGACATACAGTTTCAAGGTCATGTAGCTACGTGAACCTTAAAGAACAGACAGCAATATTTAACTCGTACAAAATCACATTAGCTACACTACTGTCTCCCTGGTATTAAAAAGTAGTAATACTCAAAAATAATATCAGATTTGAGAAGACTGCATAGAAGTGCAGTTGAAAACATACTTTTCACAAAAAAAAATACTCTCTCACAAAAGAGAGCCTAGAGAAACAGACAATATGCTTCTTAAATTTTTGAGCCCTAACACTAATAATTAAGAATATATAAACAACAAAATTTCAGGAGCTGTTACCAAAAGCAGAGGAGGGGGAAAAAAACGTGTCTTTTGTTTAAGATTTTCTAAGAGCAACACAGCCCTCTAGTGGAAATACTAAAGCATGATTTGTCCACACAAAAGCAGAGCATAGACTAGAGGGGCATCTTTTTTACACAGCCTGCTGCTCAGAAAACTTTTCACTTTTCAAGCAGGATCATTTTATACATTAACAGCCAAGAAATTCACTGGCCTTTTTCAAAGTGCTAATGAAAACTAATAAAGTGATCAAAAAAGTACCAGATGTTTTATATACACAAACACACTTTTTGCAACAATTTTAAGGACTAATTAAGTGGACACATAATCTAGGAATTCTTACTATATTCCTATGTGAATAGAAATACATGAAAGCAAAGAGAGAGACATGGCTAGCTATTCATCACAAGCTAAATATTAAAAAAGACCTAACTGGAAGGAGATTATCTGGCAGGGAATTACACAAAGTACCAATTTGTTTCCATATCCAGTTCTCTGAAACACACTGCCTGAATTCCTCATTAAACTATGAATTGAATTCACATCCACAAGGAAGACTTGAATAAAGTTAAGTTTCTGAAAACAAAGCAATTGCCTCCTCCTCAAAACACTGCAGCAGCAGCGGAGTCCCTCCAACATACACAAGTAGCAGGAGTATTTGCAATACAAAAATAGAGCACAACACAGAATTTCCAAGCTAACTGGGAATAGGCTTCAAAACTGGAAGTGCTCTGCTTGAGCTAGCTAAACAGTAATTGCACATGGAGAACACAGAGCTGGGTAGACATAACCTCATAGGTATCGCTACACTGTGATCCATTAGCTAGTGCAGACGTGTCCACAGCATTTGGTCAAGAGCCACAAAGCACGGTTCAGCGTTAAGCTAAGACACTGACCAGCAGTCAGAATAGTTGGAATAAGTCATTACAATGTCTCTGACAACCCAGCTTCAACACAACTTCAAATTCTGCCAAGTAAATCCAAATTAATTGCACAGGAATACTACTAGACAAGTACAAAAGAAAAGTGCTTTCTTCACACAACACCAATGCATTTGAACAGTTTTTCCTCTAAAGAGGTCTATTAGAAGTCTGATTAGCACACATCTTTTCCAAACTATCTCCTTTCTCAGAAGTTAAAGAGCTAGTTTAGATTTCAGAAAAAAAGGGGAAAAAAAAATGAAGCTTCAACAAAAGCATCATACAATGAAAAAGTAATCCAAAACATGAAACATCTGTATTCTGCAAGTCTGAAAGGTAGGTCTCAATGAAGGCAAATCATATTTGAGCCCTGGCAATTCTTTAAAGTTCTGAGATTGAACAGATAGGTGCATATAGAGCAAATTCTATGGCTGGGTGAAATATAAAGACATGCTGTACTAAAAATCTGGAATGTTAAGCCTTAATGAAAAACAAAAGCTAATTCCAAGCGCACTTGCTACACTAAGTACAATACCAATGTATAATATATGTATAAGCATATTAAAGTTTGCAGCACATGTGCTGATAAGGAACAAAATGGTAAATAAAGTTCCACACTTTTATCTGACTCCTGTTAGATAACACTTCTCTCCAAATAATTAAGGGGTAAAGACCAAGGTAACTCAGTGATAACTGCTATTAACCCGTTGTACATAATCTTCAAAGAAAGACATGTTCACATAGTTAAGATCCTACTTGTAAGGGACATCAGCTCATAATCTGTGTAAGGATATCAGTGTGAATGAAGTTCCTCCACAAGGTAAAGCTACGAACAATAAATAAATGGAACAAAGATTAACAGTTATCATCTAGGTAGATCCCATGATTTGTCACAAAAGTTCAAATCTGACACCAAATCACACTTGTATTTTAATACTCCTTTCTGGATTTAGGCCACAGAACTAGAAAACAGCTATCCTGTGCAGTTTGCAAAGAGAAAATTTGAATAGCCTAGCAAATTATACTGGAGAAAAAAAACCTGCCTTCTGAAGAAAAGCAGCAGAGCCCCTAAGCACCATATAAAAATGAAACAAAAGCAGCTAATAAGAATAACTCAACTACTCAGCAATCAAGTAATATATATTATGAAATGAATACCTTGACTAGCAAGTGTATAAAAGGATGTACATGAAAGAGCTTGAAATTATCCTAGAAAATGCAATTAAAAGGGATTTCAAAAGGACATCAATACTACTTTTTGCCCGAAAGTGACAGAATTGTGTGCCCAATGCTACAACTCTATCATCAATATGAGTTGCAAATAACTATCAGAGACAAGGATCCTGTGATCGGCTTGTAAGATCTTTTCCAATGTTTACCTCTTGTCATTAGAAAAGTTTTCTAAACACTTTATCCAAATACTCTGGCAATACAATACAAGCTTTCCTCCCTGTCCTAACCACCAAGTATCAAAAAGACATTATTTTATCCCTCTCCACAGCAGGCTTTATTATATTCCCCTCCACAGCAGGTTTTATTATATATTTATATATTGTGAAGTGCCCCTTATTTTCTAGAAAGAATCTCATTTCCAAACTTGATGTTATTTAAACGGCTCTCCTCCAGACTCCACATTCTCCACTTTAGAAATAACACTACACAAACCTGAAAAAAGTTTTCCAAAGTTTCTCCAGAGTTATCTGTAAAATAAATATCATAATATATTACCTTATGTATAATGTTTACCTACCTATTCCTGAATTTGCTCCAGTGATTATAGCCACTCTTCCACTCAAGTCACGACCCTGAAGGATTTCCATTGCAGTACTGTTGCCATCATATTTTTGTCTAGTAGTAGGCTTTACTGGATTATCTTCAACTGTAAATGCCAATCTTGGATCAAGGTAAGTAGTTCTTTTGTTTATGTGGCTGCAAAACAAAAAATAAATATTTTGACACTCTGTACTCTTTAGACTTTAAGTGTTCTATTCCAACTACAGTTACATATAATTCTAGTGGATATTTACATTCCTTATGTTTTCCTCAGTTTTGCCTAAGTGGTCTGAATTTCTTATTTATCATTTCTCTGATTGTAACTGTATGTACATTAAGATTTGTTTTGAAGTACTTCATAACCCCATTCAGAAATTCATACAAACAGAGAAATCTGTCACAGAAAAATTTGCATTTCATTAGGAAAGATCATGTTCTCTAAGGACCTCTATGAAAGGGACATGTATCACTTATGAAGCCAGATACTGGTAAGAAATGTAGTTCAGTATTCTTTTTTTTGAAACAACTCAAAGCAAAAAGCTTCAATCTGTTCCAGCAAGGGACATCATTTGGGTCAGACTGATGCTCCCATAATGGGATTTTAGGTTTCTTCAGAAAAAAAAATCTAGAAAGATGCTTGGCAGCAACTTTCAGTCTTCATTCCTTACTTACAGAACAGAGGGTCAAGTATAACAGAGGGTTATACTTCAGAATTTTAGCCTGTGAATAGTCTTCATTTTTACCATTCAGCTAGAGATAATCACCCCATTTTGACTTGAAAACTGAAAAGATATAGAAAAGGAAGTGCTCTACTACAGAAATGTTACCAGAAACATCTCTCTGCTTCTGTGAACTCCCTTCTACCTCAGTTTTCTAAAAGTCTCTTCTGGTTCAATCCGTCCTCTCTTTTCTTTTTGTACTTTGGATTCCAAATCAGTCAGTGCTGTAGCAATTTAATTTTCGCCTTGTATCTTGTGCTCTACTGCACTGTTAATGATAGATTTCTCGATAACTTCTAAAGCTAAAAGATAGAGTGTTTATATGTGAAGTTACATAAACAAAATGAATCTACATAAACACTGCCTGGAGATAGAAGGCATTCTGAAGATGTTGATTTGCAAGCCACTAACCTGTCACTCAACTAACATTTCCATGCACGTCAAAGAATTCAATAAATTACATGTGGGTGTTTCATTTCAATTCAACTTACATTTGAATTCTAATGTCTTGCTTAAGAGTTTCTTTGAAAAACTGACTGATATTAGCACAGTATGATAACTCCAAGAAAGCTAACAAATGAGAAATGACTGGTCCATCTACTTGCCCTTATTTTACACTATCATATACTTACTCCACAAAATAGACTTGTCCATTTTCATCAGTCTCCTGCTCCCATCCATATGGCAGACCTAGAAAACACGGATAAAATGTCTTTTCTGCAGGCACTAAAGCACAGTCAGATTTGAGGTTTAATTGATTTTTCAGACAAAAGCTGACAAATGTCTGCACTATTCCTGCAGGTAATACACTGCTGCATTTGGAGCTTGAAAGGAGGTGTGCTTCCCTAATCACCATGCAATTGCGCTGCCCTCAAAGTGCCATATGCAAGACATTTGGAACTACTATTAAGACCAGTCTATTAATTATAAAGATAGTCTAAAAAAAATCTCCTCTCTCTGTTCATGTAATGGCACAAAGCAGCAAAATGTGACCGTGCTTCCTAGTACGTCACACAAACCTCTATACTCCATGCAGTTCAGTATCTGCCCTAATAAAGCGACAGGACTAAACTAAGCTATGCAGGAAAAGGGGTGTTTTGTGTGGGTATGCATGTAAACAGACCAAAAGTTTGAAGAGCTCATTGAAATGATAAAATCAAGTTGGAAGAACAGTCAAGAGGAAAAAAAATAAATACTTTAAAAAAATAAAAAAGAAAAAAAGGACTTAATTCTTTGCCAGACTAAAACAAATGAAGGCAGTGATCAAAAAATTCAACAGGTATACTCTGCTATAATAACCACTTTGTTTTCAAGATCCAAATGGAAAATAACAGTCGCTCTGTATTATTAATATCCATGTAGTATCATCTTATTTAAAATGTTAGAACTTTTCACCATTTATCCTTTTATTCAAAGCCCTGCAGAAGTAGCAACTTCCCTTGCTGGCCAAGTCTTTCTTCATATTTGGTTAAACTTTCTCCTCAAATATCTTCTTGTTTATGCTGTTTAAAAGTCTATTAACAAAGAGGCATTTTCCTCTAAAAATCACTCTCTAGCTCATATTAGGTAATGCAAATTATTCATTGAACTTCACTTTTCTGCTCTTAAGGAAGACCCCCAATTACACCACAGAAAAGTTTTGTAAAGATCTAATTTAAGTCAAGATCCTTAACAAGTCACAAGCCGCTGGAAGAGTCCTGTAACACCATGCTCTTTTCTAGGAGGAATAAGATGGTAATTAACAGGACTCCTCTTTGTACTACTCTTTAATAGGCAGTTATAAAGAATATAATCCAACTATAAGCACAACATGATGGGCTTTGAGAAACCATAACCCAGTCTACGAATTCCACCCTGCAACTATGTTTTACAAGCCATAGCAAAAGAAACCCTTTATCCCAAACTGGCACTTTGGCTTTATGCAGCACAACAAGAAATCACACATCATTAAAGTGATCATTGCACAGACAAAGCTCCACTGAAAGCAGCCACACTTTGCAAGCCAGGTTTAGCAATACACAGAGAGCCAACTAAGGAGATCAAGATGAAATTTGGTTCCTGCAAAAACTGACTGCGGCTTATAACTGTATTACAGAAGCTTCACACAAACCTCCTGCAACACGTTTCCTCTTTCCAGATTTAGGGTGCTCCCACTGTGTTTTTTCTTCAAGATGACTGGAGGGGGGGAGGGGGAAGAAAAAAAAAAAAAGATTTAGAAACAAGCTAACAATGCTCTTTCTGATGCACTTCAATCAAAGACTTTTTTTTTTTTTAATACAGTACAGAATATGGCTCATCTCCAATGGAAACGTGGGTGTGTATATACACACACACACACACACATATATATATATAAACGTATTTTCAGAGTATGCAAAGCTAACATACAGGCAACAGCATAACACCTTTTAACCTGAACTGTATTTACCCACACTGGCAAGACTCTCCCTTAACACCAAACCTGTTATTATTCTAAATTGAGTTAATTCACAACAGCTAACAACGAGGCCCATGGAATTGTTGGTGCATAAACAACTAATCCGCCAAACTGACACCTCACCATTTTATGGGTTCTCTGTGATTGAAAGGGCTTCTAAAGGGCATATAATAAAATCTAATGCAAGAGCAGCAACTGACTAGACAGAACTAGCAGTGCTCATAAAGTGCTTTTTACTTTAAATACGTGTGTATTTTGTATTTATTATTTTTGGTTTGTCTCGTGTTCGCGGGTCAAAGCTTGGGAGAGGGGCGCCAATCCCCGCTACGGGCGGGAAGCGGCCGGAGTTCCTAGGGCGGGAACGGGTCTCAGGGCTCGGAGCAAGCGGAAGCTCAGCCTCCAGGAGCAGCACGGACGCAGGAACCGGTTACGTAAGAGGAGGGAAATACACAAGCGCGCATTCCACGGGGTTAAGGGCACACACTCGCTGGAAAGCGGCGGGGACGCGGCGGGCGCCGCGGCGGACGGTGCCCAAGGCCCGTGGGTAGCTCGGGCCGCGGCGGGAACGGGCACGGGCGGGACGAGCCCCTGCTGCCCGCGCCGCCCCGGCCCTCCGAGGCGGGGATGGACGCGCGGAGCCGCCCGCCTCGCCTCGCGCTCCGCCGAGGCCGGTCGCAGCGGGACGGCGGCGCCGCCGGCAGCTCCGCCCCGCGCGGGGCGGGCGCGGAGGGGCGGCTGCCCCCGCCGCGGGCGGCCGCCGCTTACTTGGCGTAGTAGACCCAGCCGTCCTTGGTGGTGCGCTCCTCCCAGCCGGGCGGCAGCTCCTCCTCGCTGTCCGTGTCCTCCAGCCCCGCGTACTTCAGCGCCGCCATTGGGACGGGCACCCCCGGCAGCGCCGCTGCCTCACGGATATAGGCGCGCGCCACCCCGCCCCTTCCGGCGTGGCCGGCCAATGGCGCGGAGCGGCAGGACGCGGGCATGCTGGGAAGTGTAGTCCGCGCTCCCCGCGGCGCCCCCGCGCGGCGGCGCCGGGGGTTCGGGACGTGCGAGCGGGGCGAGGCCTGTGCGCGGGCCGGGGGCGTCGCCTCGGGGGGCTCCAGCGCTCCCCCTTCCAGAGGAACAAGGCGCAGGCCACTGCAGGAAAATGAACCGCCTCTAAAGCTCCTCGATGCAGGCAGGATGTTGAGGGGCACGGCCTTGGGCTCTGGCCAAGCCCCAGGGCCTCAACATGGCAGCCTGTGCCCATCCCTCACGCCCCCAGCGTCCCGGCCTCGAGCGCCTCGAGCGCCAGGGCTTCTCCGAGCGCCAGGGCTTCTCCTGCGAGTGCCTGCGCTTCTCCTCCGAGTGCCAGGGCCTCTCCTCCGAGCGCCAGGGCCTCTCCCCCGAGCAGAGCAGCCCACCGCGGGGCGTAAGTATCACCGCACCCTCATGGAGCACGGGGCCGGGAGACTCCCGTCCTTGGGAATGGCAGGGCAGGACCTCCCAAGGCCCCGTCCTGCGCCCAGGTCACCCAGTGACACCAGCCCCATGGCCGTTTCCAGGGATGAAGCGGTGCAAGTTAAGAGCGCGTTACAGAATCGCCCCATTAGAGAAACCTCCCCCTTGGTAGCCACAGCAGAGGTGCCCGCGTTGCAGCAGGGGCAGGAGTGCGTCGTGCGTGAATTTCCTCAGCATTTGTAACAGCCGCTTCCCGCTGCCCTGGTCCAGCAGGCAGCGGCGGCGCTGGCGGGAGGCTGCGCCAGATGGCACTGCAGCCGCACGAACGGAAGCTCCCTGGCTGCTCTGGGTAACGTTTCTATGCGCTGTTTGAGGCCCTGACCTATATGGCTCGCTTGCTACCCGCTAATAGCATGCGTGTCTCTCTACAAAAAGCAACCCGAGCTTTTTTCTGCCCTGCTGCTCCCATCACTTCACGTGTTCCTCAGAGAAATTGCACCTCCTGAGTTATCTCGCCCTGTTAGAGACACACGTGCTTCCTCAGATGCCACTTTCCGTGGGAGTATGTCACAAATTCTTGATAATTTGACTACTCATTTATTGAATTATTTCAAAGCAGCTTAAAATTCAGACGCATTTTCTAGTTAAAAATTGTGACAAGATACATTCCCTTTCAAATGATGAAAGATGTCTTTGCCATTTTCTCCAGCTCAAGTGTGTGCATGTGTAGAATTGCTACCCATTTGTTTATTTGCACTGCAGGAAAAGAATGGGTCTGTGTGTTACTTAATATAGTGATCTCATACATCATGTTCGTTCAGACAGGGTAGTAAATATTCCATTCTTCTTAAAATTTTCTCTCGCTTGCTTTGGATGTCGTACTTTAGCAGAAAGTGCGTCAAAGATGTCAGGATGTCATCCTGGTCCATTGCTGTGGCAATCCTCTAAATTAATTCGTCTGATGATTCCAAGGCTCTCAGACCAAGATAAATGCCACAGCTTGCCAGAAAGTGCATAAATTAAAACAAGAAGACATTTAGAAATGATTGTTATTTTCACAATAGCATAAATGTCAATTAGAATCTTAATCTCATTTTCTGTTAGCTGTATTTTAAAGCATCAAAATTAAATCTATTTGGCTGCTTTCTTCCTTGGAAGCATAGACAACATAGACATAATTTTGCTCATGTAATTTGCTGGCAAGCCAGAGGCAGCAAAAGTCTTAACATTTTCTCAGTGTCAGTCACAGGCTTATTTACTTTGCTTGAATCATGGCCATCCATGGCTTGAATCATGCTTGAATCTTGCCCATCCAAGATTTGGGTACTTACCTTTCTGGCAAAGATTTTGATACTGGTTATCTAGACTAGAGAAAAATAATCATGACATACTGTAAAAGCAGGCAGATGCACCACAAAGTGTTGATTCATCTCGTTGATAGAGCATGTGTCCATTTGTCAGAAATCACAATTTAGGAGTATGATAAAATTCTGAACAGCTACCAGGTCATAATTTTTCAGCAGCTGTCAGAACATGTTTGCATAGGCTACAGCTGTTCTTTTTCAAGGGAAAATCCTGCCTCCACAGTTCATACCTCAGCCCTTCTAACCTTAGCATTAAAGTACTGTATTTTGCTGTATGGTACGGGCTGCATACCATACCATACGTTATTCTGAAAATGTGTCTCTTTTAGTCTTAAGTCCTTGTACATCCTCCTCAGTTGCCTTTGGATAACAGTACACTGTTTATCTGTTTAAAAATCCTGTTTCTATTTTCTTCTCCCTCTGAATTTGTAATAGTCGTATGAGTGCAGCATATCATGTCTGATCCATGGTAATAGCTTCATTTATTTATTTTCTTTTATTTATTTTATTTGTTTGTTTTTATAGTAGCATTGTCAGAATGCTTCTTCAATGCCTGTTACACACAATCATGTTACTGAATTTAAGTGTCCTATACAACTTTGTTTGAAAGCTCCTTTATCAACCAGTTCAAGACATCCATATGCTTGCAGAGCCCTTTAAAATATCTGTAAGTGCAGGGGAAAGCAACCAGCTATATCAGCTGCCTTTCATTCATATTGCCTTTGGTCTTCTGCAACAAGTCATGCAAACCTTTATGTAAGGCCACCTACGACAAAGTAAAGGCTGATCACACTTCAGGGCATGTGTAGACCGCCAGGAGCGAGGCAGTAGGTTTAGACACAACAGCCCAGGTTCTTTCTGTAAGGCTCTCTGGAGGTGAGAAAGGCTGGGGAGAAACACGGCAGCTCAGACGAATGACAAATACCTTATTTTCGTAGAACAGCCATGTAAGTCATTAGTCATGTTTGTTTGTTTGAAGTTAAATGGTCTACAATCTTGTAGAACTGAAAATGTGTCCTGTAGAGTCAGCTTTGTCATCTAAATAACATAAATTAAATAGCATGAGACCTAATATATGCCCCTGAGGCATTTCACTTGGTAATTCTCCTCAGCAGTCTATTATCTTCTGTTTATGGTCCTTCAGCCAGTTTTCATTCTGCCTGAAAATCTATTTGGATTCACTAAGAGGCTAGCAGCCCTTTCATTGACATTCCTGATACCCACTCATTCTGTAATTCAATAACACACAGGCAGTCACAGTTGCTTAGTCTACTAACTTAGTGTTAAGATGATCTAATGAGAACAAAGGCATTTATGGAAGTGCAAATTATGGAATACATTGGCTTTAATTTCAAATGTTACCTAATGACATGGAAAACAGGGCATTTCACCAAATGATTCATCTGTACGGGAGAAAAAGTATCAAAATGGTCAAATTCTCATGTTGGCACCACATAGAGGGTTTTTCAAAAGGGCTTAAGGTATTGAGTGCTAAATCTTGGATCCTGATTCTGAACATTGTACTGTCGAAAAGCTGGTCATGAGTTCCTTCAAAGTCTTTTACTGTACTAGATGTTTAAATTAAGGTACTCACCTTTCCTTACTGAATAAGAATGTGGTCTGTGTTTTGAAGAGGGACCAAGGGAGAAGTTACTTCCAAAAATAGACTGTGCTTGTGCAACCTTTAAAAATGAAAAATAGATCTTTAAAGAGTAATGGTTAACAATGTACCCTCATTACTCATGTTTCAGTTGCTTTTCTTGGCACGAGAAAGTTCTGTACCGGAGCCTCTATTTCATAGTTGAACAGAATCCAGCATTTTATACCTCCAGGCAAACTCACAAAACTCTTCACATTTACTTTGGTTTTGATGGTAAAGTGAAACTCTCAAAATGTGTTAACAGAAAAATAAAAATCTTCAAATACACATTTCTGTATTTCTGGGCCAAAAATGACTCAAATGGACATCATCTGCTATAAATACTTCACTAATGTTCTGAAAACTGGAATGTTAAATATGACAGTGATAGAAAGCTGATCTCAGTCCTCTCATCTAAAGGTCATTTTGCTGACCATTTTTCACATTATTTATTGCCTTCTAATATTAAGTGTGATTTTTCTAAGAGCGAACTTGATAACAGACTACTTCCCTTTTTACCCAATTAAAGTCTATTGTTTCTTGATCTCACAGAAGAATGTGGACACAGTGATGTATGGTACACGCTACTTATGAAACATGTTATTAATAGTTACTTTATTCTCATTAAAAGTGTGTTTATGCAATTGTAGCACAAGAGTCCAGTCATTGGCATTTCTGAGTACCTCCATACACATAAACACACACGCACACGCAGTATAGTTTTTATACCCTGCAAACCTATCTGAGTACTCTAAGAATATCTAGTAGAACGTCTCAAAAAATGAAAAAATATGGATTTGAAGATATCAAAATGACAGCAAACACTGTCTTCTGGAGAGTAAGGATTTCATTAAGTCTCCTAATGTCCCTGTTATGTCAGGGAGATCCAGTGGATCCTAGGTAATTGCTGTATATGGGCAAAAATATTGCAGGGACAAAAAAAAAAACATGCTGGACAAGCAAAGATTTAGGAAGGTTCACATAGTTATATAAACCTTAAGATGCCATTGTCTTTCCTTTTTTTCCTTTTGTTTGTTACCTGTCTCTGATTTCAATACCTGCATTTGTTCTATATGTGTTACAGAATTCTACGAAACCTGGGCTGATCCTGAGACCTGAGCTGGGCTCTCCACAGGATCCATCCACTACCATAGTTACTTTTATCCAGTCTGAAGGTAAGTCCTTCCTTGTAAAGTCATCTGAAAACTAATTTTGAAAGAATATTTTGTATGTAACTATTGCGAATTTTCTAGGGAAAATGCATCAAATAGTTACTATTCTTTCCATCATGGGTATACCATCAAAAACATCTATGAAAATGCAGTCCTATCTCAGTTAAACTCATTAAGAATATGTTACAACTAAGCGTGAATGAAATGTAACACCTAGTTTGAAAGGTTCCTTATCAAGCATAAACACGCTTGCCAATTCTTTCAAAAAATCTCGAAGTA